TATTTATTTAGGTAGGGTTTAGGGTTTAGGGTTTAGGGTTTTAGGGCTTTAGGGCTTTAGGGCTTTAGGGTTTTAGGGTTTAGGGTGTAGGGTTTTGGGGTTTTAGGGTTTGAGGGTTTAGGGTTAAGGGGTTAGGGTTTAGGGTTTAGGGCCAAGCCACACGAACCCAGCGTTTCCACACAGGTGCAAAGCTGAAAACTCGTTTTCATCATAATCCTTGTCGGCTGCGATCGCGGAGTACCCTGCAGCCCGGGCCATTCTGGTGATTCGTGCACGACCAGCATAGAGTTCGATGATGTCGTAGGAAGACTGCATGAAGCCGGGTTTGGGGTCCATATAGAAAGCCATGATGACAATTGCGATAAAGGCCTTAATGAATTGTCCAGGCAATCAGATTGCACTTGCAGATCACTACTGCCAGGCTTTAGGGTTTAGAGTGGTTGGGTGTTCTGGTTTTGCTGGCTAGAAGCTTTCGGTACATCCAGGGCCATCAAGCGCCGCACACAGGCATCCAGCTGCACAGCCGAGATCATGACACTAATTATCATGCAGTGTCTCGAGAACACTATAGAAACATCAGAGTCATCAGAGCTTGTGTGTATTGTAGTTCTCGTGCTACCGACATGCATGTGCACACACACACACACCAAACGAGCTGAGCTTGGCAGGTGTCATGAACACACATATAATGTCCCTGCTGACTCTGCTGCACCGCTGCAAGATCCGTTGTCCCACACCGAATGTGCAAGCCTGCATCCGAGGCCTCTGGAATGGCGCCGCAGCGGGCAAGGAAGGCTTGCCCACGTTTCATGGTCCGACCTTAGAGATTTATCATCTCAATCAGATATCGAACATAATATGCATGTTGCATATAGTTCACATGCTGAGTGCACTGGCATCACTGCAATGGCTCGCTGCAGTCCTCTGTTGAATGCAGCAGACTTCAGTTTTCATCTCCGCAGCACACGAAGGAATTTCTCTCCCCACTCCGAAATAGCTGCTGCAGCTTTGGGCTGCGCAAACACATCACATAAAATCACAAGAGCTCCGGCACACAAAGAAAGCCCCGCCGTGATGACACAGCAGGATATCTGCCCCCGCGTGTGCACAAGCTCACTAATTGAGAACTGTGGGCACAACACCACAAGTCCAGGACCCCAGCGCACAAGCAACTTGACATGTACATCCCCTATAGCTCGTGTGGTCTGTTAAGTTCTGGAGTCTGTTTTGGGGTCTAGGAAAGCATGCTTGCCAAACAGAATCAGATGTGTTCAATCCCCAGAAGGAGCCTCGAGTGGAACCTTCGCAAGGTACTCCTGAGCGGCCTTCTTGGCAATCTTAGAGTAGGTCTCCATGGGGCTCTTCTTGTTCTTCATGAGCGTGGGCTTCACCGTTTGCCAGAAGTCGTCCTGATCGATGAGAGTTACAAGAGCTGAACCCGGATTATTTCACAGGACGACAGATAGAGAGGGAGAGAGCGAGAACGACGGATATATGGGAGATGTAGATAAGGCTCTAGGGTTTATTTACACACCATAAACCAAAAACAATGAGACACATGTGCGGGTGGGTGAGAGGGAAGATCTAGGGGTACATTGGGGGGGGGGGGGGGGGGGG